GAGATGGTTGCCTTGAGTCCTGGTAGGAGCTTTGGGTGGCTCACAGATCCTGGTGGAATCCTCCTTCCAGGCCAGCCTTCATGCCACCGTCTCAGAGGTGACAAGCCACCATATGCACTGGGCACTTTGTGCCCTGACACAGTGGATGGGTCTGCAGGTAACTTTCCTATGGAGCTAGGGCATCAGATGGAGTGGGATCGAAACACCTGGCAGGTGATCCATTTTCTTTGAAAATGTAGCAATAAACGGAAAGTTTAAAACAAACATTGAATGCCACTTAACACAAAGTGTTTCTGAACTTTGCTCTTGACAGACTTTGGATAGCTCTTTTGACCTTGGCATTGTGTTTTCAGTGTAGACACAGTCATCTCTTGAATTGTTGCTGCATGTTGTGGGTCCCAGGATGACACCACTGCTTTTTAATTAAGGCTTTTCAACAGTACTGTTTGTGGTGCAGCTTGAAGCATTTTGGCATCTTTTGTTTACTAGTTCTTTCTTTTCCTTTGCTACTCCTTGTGTTTCCTTTGGCTTGGATATCACTGGAGGTCTCTCTTTCTCTCTTGGTCTTAGTTGGTTCAGTTAATAATTTGCAAAGATGTAGAATAGACCTTGTTATACATAGGAGGATCAGTGTCTATAGTACATTATTTTCAAACCCAAGAAGGTAGAACGTGCCCATGCTGTGTGGGTTTTCCCATGTCTGTTCATCACTGCGGCCTGGGTCTTGCTGGTGTCCCGTCTGTGCCATGGTGGGATTCAGTACCGGTGAGCCCCTGGGCTCCACCTTCCTTCCTGGCCTTCTCAGGAATAGGCTGAGTTTCCATTTAACACAGCAGCTTGCTCAAAAGTTATTAAGTGGAGTTTCTGTGGGCATATAACATTGGGTAACCCAAACAAAAACTGTCTTCTACATAAGGGAGAAAAAGGAGGAACCTTATCCTTACTCCCATAATTGTCATATATGTTGTGCTAAAAATTTATTGGCCAATGGGGTTCTGTTTTTGTTGTTTTAAATGAGTTTTATTGCTTAATTGTGGATTCAATTTATTTATGTTCTTCTATTTCCATTGCCATGTGGTGGTTGGTTTTGTGTGTGTGTGTGTGTGAGAAAGATTAACCCTGAGCTAACATCTGTGTCAGTCCTCCTCTTTTTGCTGACAAAGACTGGCCCTGGGCTAACATCCGTGCCCATCTTCCTCTACTTTATATGGGAAGCCACCACAGCATGGCTTGACAAGTGGTGCGTCGGGATCTTAACCCCGGGCCGCCATAGCGGAGCACGCACACCCAACCGCTACGCCACTGGGCCAGCACCAGTGGGGTTCTTAATCCCCTTCTTTTCTAGGCCTAGAGTTGATTATTCAAGTCTTGTGCTAGTGATAGAGGCAGTTGCAAGGTGTTCAATTATGGGCTTCTCATTTGTTATATTCATGTGATTTGCTTATTGTAATTACCTTTTTGTGTGTGTGTGTGTGTGTGAGGAAGATCGGCCCTGAGCTAACAGCCCTTGCCAATCTTCCTCTTTTTGCTGAGGAAGATTAGCTCTGAGCTAACGTCTGTGCCCATCTTCCTCTATTTTATATGGGACGCCTCCAAAGCGTGGCTTGATGAGCAGTGCGTAGGTCTGTGCCCAGGATCCAAACTTGCGAACCCCGGGCTGCCGAAGCAGAGTACGTGAACTTAACCACTACGCCACCGGGCCAGCCTCTTAATTACCTTTTTAATACATGAAACTGGGCACTTTTTTATTAATTCAACGAGTGTGTGCTGAGGGCCTGCTTTATACATACCAGGGACTCTTCTAGGCTCCAGGTTATAACAGTGACCCCAGCAGGCAAGGGCTTTGCTCAAATGGAGCTTTCATGCCGTTGGGGGTGACAACGAGCAAATGCATGTGTGACGTGCAGTCACATGGCCATAGTGAAATGAAGAACAGGGCAGGGTGGTCAGGGAAAGCCTTTGGATCGATGGGTAAGGTGTGAGAGGGGAACCCCCTGTGCAGTGATCAAGGGGAGGAAGGGATGAGAGGTGGGAGACATAGGGTCTGACCCACCCAGAGTGGGCTGGAAGCCTCTGGGGAGTTGAGAGCAGTGGAAGGATGGCACCCAAGGGATCTCATAAAGGAAGCACCTGTGCCCGAGGCAGGAGGGACAGATGCTGACATTCCCTCTGGCCCTTTTGTATCATTGAACGCCACGTACAGATCTTGCTGTTTTAGAAACTCGCTCTGGCTTCTGGGTGCAGACAGGCTTGTGTGGGAACCTGAGAGAAGGGCGGGGCAGGAGGCGGTGAGGCGTGCCTGGGGCATCTCCTCTCTGTGGTGCAGCCATCCCTGCATGATGGGATGTTAGCGTCATCCCTGCCTGGCCTCCACCTACTTGATTGCAGCCTGTCTCCAGACACGGCCCAATGTCCCTGGGGGCTGAGAACCACCACACAGGAGCAGATTGAGGTGGAGGTGTGTGAACTAGTGGTTTGGGACTGTAGAGATAATGGGTTTTCCCACTGTTTTTTGTATGCATTGGTTTTTTGGTGTGTTTGTGATTCTGTGACATGTTGTCACATGTACAGGTATGTGCAACCATGTTATGGTATAGATGCAGACAACAGCTCCATCACACAGAGGACTCCCTGGGGCACCCTCTTTGGGGCTGCACGCCCTCCCCCTCCACCCCTGGCTGCCACCTGGCTGCTCTCCAAGTCTATAATTGTCATTTCGAGGATGTTATGTAAATGGAATCATACAGGATGTAACTTTTGGGGACTGGCTTTTTTCATTCGGGGTGATGCCCTACAAAGTGGTTGCTGTATCGATAGTTCATTCCTCTTTTTTGCCGAGTCGTGTTCCAAGATGTGGAAGAACCACAGTTTGTTAACCGTTCTCTCGTTGAAGGATGTTGGAGTAGTTTCCAGTGTTTGCCTGTTTGCCTGCACTTGTGTGCAGGTTTGTGTGAACGTAGGTCTTCGTTTCTCCTGGGTAAATACCCAGGAGTGCAATTGCTTGGTTGTATGATATACATATGTTTAACTTTATGAGAAACTGCCAAACTGATTTCCTGGTGGATGCACCATTTTACCCTCCCATTAGCACGGTGGGAGAGATCTATTTCTCCGCACCCTCACCATTGCTTGGTGTTGTCAGTCTTTTAAATACTACCCATTCTAATAGATATTTAGTGGTATCTGATGGCAGTTTTAATTTGCGTTGCCCTAATGGCTAGTGATGTGGAACATCTTTTTGTGTGTTTATTTGCCATCTGTATATCCTTGGTGAAGTGTTTTTTCAAGTCTTTTGCCCATTTTCTAAGTGGATTGTTTGTTTTCTTACTGGATATGAGTCCTTTGTTGGATATGTGATTTGTAAAAATTTTCTCCTAGAAGGTGAACAAGGGGAGAAGGTGGCTTGTCTTTTCAATATCTTAGCAGGGTCTCTGGTAGAGCAGACATCTTCAGTTCTGATGATGGGCGTGTTTTGAAGGTGAGAGCTCATGGCACCAGCAGGTAGGTGGGATGAGTCTTCGCTTCTGGCCTGAGCAACTGGGTGATGCCACTCACTGCCCAAGGGGGCTCTGGGGAAGAGCCAGTACCGGATCTAGTTAGAGATGCCCAGTGTGGGTGCACAGGGCGGCATGAAGAAGGCAGTGGGAGATGGGCTCTGGAGTGCAGGAAATCTGGATTTTGGAGTCATTGAAGTGTGTCTGGAATTGCAGGTCACAGGCCTGGTTGAGCTCGTCCAGGGAGTGAATGTGGATGGAGAAGCCCAGAAGCTGTAATCTCAGCCTGGGGCATTGGGCATTGGGAGTGTAAAGGAGGAGAGTTCAGTACGGGATTGAGAAGGAGCCCCCAGAGGTAGAACGGGGAAGAGTGTGAGTGCTGGACCTCAGGAAGGAGGTGGTAGCTTGTCAGGTTCTGTTCCGTCCACTGAGACTGTGGAGGACTGACCGACTGTGCCTTATGAGGGAAGTAAAGGGGCAGGGGCCTGCTGGCAGTGAATTCAAAGGAAAGAGTGTGAGGGGAGGAAGCCAGGCAGCCAGTGTCAAAACCCTGCTGGGTGGCGTCCTTTTTTGCCCCAGCTAAAGCATTGGGAAATACCGTCTTGAAGATCCACTGGAAGTGGGAGGGACGTGTGACCTCCACATGCTGGGCCCTTCATTGGTGGGCACCCCAGCAGGACAGGGTGGTGGGCAGAGCCGGCCGCCACGATGGGTGCCCCAGGATGGCCACACAGAGGTCAGCTGAGCACCACTGGCGGGTCATTTGGCCATTTAAATATACACAAATAAGGCGCTGTTTAACTGGGTGTGAAATCGAGACTCAGAGACCATGAGTCTATGGAGCTATTTTTAAATTTTATTCTTTGAAGGTATTTGGCTTGCAATACTCTTTTTTATTTTTTTTATAAATATACTGGAGTCATGTCAAGGAAGCTATATTAAAGTTGAACCAGAGTGTTAAATTGTAAACCTTTTCCCCCGAAATTTAATATCTCTGGCTTGTTTCCTCAGTGAAAAAAGTGATAGGATTTTTTTTGGAAAAAAAGGAATGATTTTTCTTTCTTAAATAAGAAATAGCCACAAAATTGTGTGTTGCTTAATGACTCAGATATATTTATATATTTATTTTTAAAGGAATACTAAGTGGTTTTACATCTACTATATGACCTAAAACATATTTGTACAATTATTTTGAAAGGAGTCATGCAGATTAAGTGGTCTTTGAGTCTTTTGTGAGTCTGCTATACTTTTATTTTCCTATTTGGCTGGTCTAAATAATGTTTTTGTTTACTAGTGTTTTAAAGTCATAAAATGCCTTGTTTGTGGTTTCATTAAGTGACTTGTAACACATGAGATGAGCTTGAAGTGGGCTTCTCAAGGACTCCTCCACACAAGAGGAGGCTTCAGTGCATTTGGGGACATGCGGGCTCTGCTTCCTGCTCTGGGTGGGACACCCTGTCCTACAGTCCGGAAGACGGGCACTGACAGTTGGCTTTTCTTTTGCAGGTGCACATTCAGGTTCCCGAGCACAAACATCAAGATAACATTCACTGCCCTGTCCAGCGAGAAGAGGGAGAAGCAGGAGACCTCTGAGTCCCCAGTGAAGCCCGTGCAGGCCCACATCTCGCCCCTGACCATCAACATTCCAGACACCATGGCCCACCTCATCAGCCCCCTCCCTTCCCCCACAGGAACCATCAGGTATAGCAGCTTCCATGGCAGGTGGGGATCACTGTGTGGTGGGGGGGCGTGCATGCTGTGATGTTCATGACCACATCCACATTTCAGTCCTCCTGCCTTGGGATTTTCGGAAGCCATCATATGTCACAGGAAGAGCAGGAGCACACAGCAACGCCTTCTCCTTTCTCTGTGGCTTAAGTACGTGGAGAGGGAGATACTGAGGGCACTTAAAATACCATTTAGTTTCCAAACACTGTCTGCTCTCAGTTTCTTGTGTTATGAAACACAGTTCCCAAATGTTCCTGGTTTTTACTTACAGATTCTTTTTATTTGAGTATAAGTTGAAGGGACAGATAATTTGTCATATTGATCTAAAGTCTGAGATAGGTTTTCATTTTCATACAAAAAAATTTTTGAGTTTTGTTAGCATGCTACAATTTCATGTCAATTTGGATGACTTCTACTTTGGATTGATGAGTTTGACCAGAGTGAAGTGACAAACTTGTGTTTGTCATGATATCCTAAGAGAGACTGGAAGCAGAGGAGGGCAGCTTCAGGGCACACTCTGGAGCAGAACCGGAACCCACTGCACAACGGTCAGGTTGTGCCAAGCTTTCAGAGGACAGTAGCTGCGAGTCAGGTCAAGAACAGCCACGGAACCCTGCAGATGTGTGTTCTTGGTTTGGGTTAGGTTGCAGCGTGTGGTTGAAGCAGAGCTCCACTGTGAATGTGGGTCCACGGTGACCATGGGGCAAGGCTCAGACAGGTCAATCCTTTTATGTTCTGTTGGCTCTTAGAAGAGTGGCATATGTACTTAGGCATCTTCTTAGCTGTGAGTGATGTTAGACTTAGGTGTGAAACGAATACATTTGCTTCTCTCTAGAGTCAGGCTCTTGTTGTGCAGGTCTGTACACAGGGCATAGCTGGGAAGTGGGAAGGGCCGTCTCATCCACTCGGGTTGCCCCTGCATGAGGCAGAGCAAATGAGGGCACAAAGGGACCTGGCAGCTCTGGATTATGCCTTTAGTCTAGTACTTATGTTTCCTTTCTTAAAAACCAGCATCAATAGTAGGCCTTCTGGAAAGGTGTCTGTGTTGCATTTATTGGTTAAATGGAGGGAGCAGCCTGCTGGCCTCTGGCTACTGTCCTGTGCTTGGCACCTTGGGCATGCAGCTGCCGTTGGCGTTAAGACCCTTCTCTGCCTTCTCCCATGGCTGCTCTGCTGAGGAAGCTGCCTCTGTCTCTCCCACTTGGTTGAATTCGTCTGTGTGTGACTAAATGGACCAGATAGTAAGAGTGCCACTGGGTAGGCAAAAGCCAGCAACACGGCGGCCAGATTTTTATTCAGTGCTGTGTGGAAAGTGAGCAGAATTCACAGAGGAGCTCAAAAGCCTGTGTTTAGCAAGTAGGCTAACAGCTCGTGATAGGAGCAGCAGCCTTGGAGATGGGTGCACCGAGACACTAGATGAGCAGCGTGGAGATGGAAAGTTCCATGGGCACTCAGGGAAGGGGGTTGTTTGGAAACTTCAGGGTTTGGATCAGCTCCTGGCCCAGCTTCTCCTCGCCCTCTGTTCTGTCTTCATCCTGTTTTCCTTGCTCGTCCCCTCCCCACACCCTGTGACATTCTCAGTATCGCGAGCATTGACCAATGTAACACCTCTGCTAGGTGAGACGCAGAGTGGAGGCCCGACTGTGGGCGGCTTACGGGTGGCGCAAACTTGCCTTTCTAGAGCCATCATCCGGCCAGCAGGCCACTTACCTTCCCCAGGTTGACACTTTTTAAATGTTAGCTAGTTTTTAAAATCATAAAATGTGAGGTCCATGTGTGCAGTCTTGTTGTCTTTCTCATTCCTGTCTCTCTCCGGTGCTTTAAGAGTTGTTCCTGGCATGCAGTAAACACTTGTTTAATAGTTGAGTGCATATTCATGGTAGAGAGTTTAAGAGGTGCTACAGAGTGTGCAGGGCCCTCCCTACTCCTCCCTCTCCATCTCCTGGGTCCCTCCTTTCCAGGTCAGGTTTTGGAGGTAACTATCGTTTCTTAGATATTTTTTCCAGAAATTTTCTATACATTTGCAATGCTTGTCTTTTTTTCCCTCAAATACTAATGAGATGTAACCATACATACTGTTCTATAACTTACGGGACTTTTAAACATTCTTATCCTGGTATTGTTTCATTTCAATAGCTCATTCTCTTTTTTAAAGTATAACGCAGGCCGACCTCAGAAATATTGCAGGTTTGGTTTCAGACCCCCACAATTGAGCAAATATTGCAATAAAGCGAGTCATGCGAATTTTTTGGTTTCCCAGTGCACAAAAAGTTATATTCATACTGTACTGTAGTCCGTTAAGTGTGCAATAGCATTAAGTCTAAAAAATCAATGTACATACCTTAATTTGAAAATACTTCATTGCTTAGAAATGCTAACCATCATCTGAGCCTTCAGTAAATTGTAATCTTTTTGCTGGTAGAAGGTCGTGTAAAAAACAGTATCTGGGGGCCGGCCCAGTGGTGTAGTAGTTAAGTTCACGCACTCTGCTTCAGCAGCCTGGGGTTCACAGGTTCGGATCCCGGGTGCGGACCTGTGCACAGCTTACCAAGCCATGCTATGGAGGCATCCCACATACAAAATAGAGGAAGATGGGCACAGACTCAGAGCTAATCTTCCTCAGCAAAATGAGGAGGATTGGCAATGGATGTTAGCTCAGAGCCAGTCTTCCTCACAAAAAACTGCAGTTTTTTTTTGTTGTTGTTGTATCTGCCAAGCACAATAAAGCGAGATATGCCTGCACTGTTGAGAAAAGGGGGCGTAAACTAAATATACAACTCGGCGAGTTATCACAAACGAACGTGGCCTGTAATCAGCACAGAGATCAAGAATCAGCATTCCTGGGGCCGGCCCCGTGCCGCAAGCGGTTAAGTGCACGCGCTCCGCTGCGGCAGCCCAGGGTTCGCCGGTTCGGATCCCGGGCGCGCACTGACACACCTCTTGGCAAGCCATGCTGTGGCGGTGTACCATATAAAGTGGAGGAAGATGGGCACAGATGTTAGCCCAGGGCTAGTCTTCTTCAGCACAAAAAAAAAAGAGGAGGATTGGCAGATGTTAGCACAGGGCTGATCGCCTCACAAAAAAAAAAGAACATTCCTAGTGCCCCAGCCCTACCTTGTGAAAAAAAAGCGCATGTTTAAAAATGCGTTCCTGTTTCTGTTTTCTACCTAACTGATCTGACGCATCTGTTCCTGGTGCCATTCACAGCCTGCATGAGTGTCTGTGTCCATGGCCTCATCCCTTTTCCACATGACCTGTTCTCGGCCTGGCTGCCCTCCCCCTCTCTCCACACTCTCCCTGACATTTCTGGTGTAGCTGGAGGCCTCGTCCTTCATCATAGCCTGTCCTCAGCTCCCCATTGGGGAGGGGACAAGTGGGGCGTGTGCTCTGTGCCCTTGGTAAGTTCTATAACCATCCTGAGCCTCAGTTTCCTCACTGGTGAAACAAGTGAGCCACTACCTCCTTTGAGAGTTTGTTTTATGATTACATGAGATGACGCACCTGGAAACAAATACCTGATTTCCGCATGTTTCTTGAAGTGTTCTTAAATTTCACAGAGAATTAATGAGTGCATTTTTCCATAGGAAATGCTGATATTCTCTTTACTTTTTAAATTTGTTTTCCCTGAAATCAGAGACAGTTATTGAAGCACAGTGTGATGTACATAATAGTCTTATAATAGACTGATAGGAACAACGTTTCCTCGTCCACAGTGCTGCAAACTCATGCCCATCCAGCCCCAGGGGAGCGGGGTCTTCGGGATACAAAATGGGCCGTGTGATACCGTCTGACCTCAATTTAATGGCCGACAGCTCACAGCCAGAAAATGAAAAGGAAGCTTCAGGTGGAGACAGCCCAAAGGTAAATGTTTTATAGCCTTGAAACAGAACCCACAGGCCATCATGTAGCCAGCTGTCCTCATTTCATGGCCTGCATGTGTAGTAACATCTGCACCAGGGCCTTTTGAGAAGTGTACATCTGAGCAGATGCGGGCTGGTTGTGGGGTCACTGTTGAGGATGTTCTTGGTGTTGGGGTCTTACGAATGCATCCTTTCAGTCATTTAGCACTGGGGTCTCCCCAGTGGCAGCCATGGGCCCAAGTACTCAGAGCAGAGCAGACAGTGAAGGAGACGAGAACCTCTTGGTCCTCACAGGATGACCTGCATTGTGTCCCAGGAAACTGTTCCTGGGGTTTAGTCCTGCTGTCCCAAATGCTGAAGGTTGTGCCTGTACAGGTGTTTGAACACATGTGCACATATATTCACATGTACGCACTTTGGGGGGTACATCACTGCCCTTTGGGGACAGTAATTGTTGATGGTCCACACTGTGACCCTGCATACTTTTATTGTTTGACCCAGTAATTCCCCTTCTAGGACTTTGTCTAAAAGAAATGGACAAAAGTCTCAACAAAAGTTTATAAAACAGAAAATTGAAAGCAGCCTAAGTGCCCCATAAGGAAAGAATGATTAAGTAAGGGAATATTATGCAACATATTTACTGATATGGAAATGCTCTTGATGTAATGCTAAGTGAAAAAAGAGAATAAAACTATGCCAGCCCAGTGGTAGTAGTTAAGATCACATGCTCCACTTTCTGCTTTGGCAGCCTGGGGTTCACAGGTTCGGATCTACACACAGCTCATCAAGCCACGCTGTGGCAACAATCCACGTACAAAACAGAGGAAGATTGGCACAGATGTTAGCTCAGGGACAATCTTTCTCAAGCAAAAAGAGGAGCATTGGCACCAGATGTTAGCTCAGAGCCAATCTTCCTCACCAAAGGAAAAAAAAAACCATACATGGTATTGCTTTAATTACATATTTATAAAATGTGATATATTCACGCAGTAGAACACAGTACAGCCATGAGAATGAATAAGCCATAGCCATGCACCATCTGCCTACAGCAGCTGGGAGCCTTGCACAGAGGGTGCTGGGCAAGTGGCACAGGCACAAAGGGGCACCTTCTGTAGGAGTCCATTTTTGTCCATTTGCCTGTTTAAAATCAGGCAAAACTCAATTGTATTGTTTCAGAATGCATTATTAGATGGTAAAACTTAATAAATCACAGCAGGATTCTGATTATTATAAAATGTCAGGAATAATGGTGGCCTCTCTGGGAGGTAGAGGCTGTGGCCAGGTAGGTGGGCATATAGAAGCTTCTGGGATGAGGGCTGTTCTCTCGACCTAGTGTTGGTTGTACTGATGTTTACTTTACAAAAATTTTTCTTCTGATACAGATGTATTATGGGCTTTCCTTTCTGTGTTATAGTTTTCAATAAAAAAAAGGTTTTTAGAAATGTATAGAAAAAAGATACCAAGGAAACACACCAAACAGCATAAGCCCAATGAGGAAGGCTTTGTGCTCTGCGCCTGGCACGGACTCCAGCTTGGCTGTACCACCTGGCCCTTTCCTGTAACTCAGAGTGTGCCCACTCGTGGGGGCAGACATGGCAGAGCCTGACCTAAGTGCTTGGGGAATATTAGCTATTTAAAATTGGGGTGCTGGGATCATAGGTGATTCAGTCTTTCTGTACAGAGCATGTGCCCATCGCAGGCTGTCGGGACTAAGCGTGGCCTGTGCAGTTGAAGCCCACGTTCCTTTCCTTGGCACATCTGCCTTCCTTCCCCATCCGTCCGTCAGTCCCTCTGCCTGTCTATTCTTTTACTCCATTTGTATTTATCCCTAAACAGTGTCTAAATTGTTCATTTTTAAACCTCACATAAAGAGTATCATCTTAAATGTATTCTTTGCAATTTACTGTTTGCATTTGACGTTGCATTTTGCTGTTCATCTGTGTTGATACATGTATTTCCCAGTTCACAACCAGGGGTGCACCAGTGGGCTTGTGCACATGTGTGTGAGGATCTGAGTCATCACAATGGAAGGAGCCACTGGTGGCCTGGAGTGTGCTGTGACCAGGGGTACTAGGTGCACAGCAGCCCTGCACAGTAAAACAGTACCTGCCTAACTTAGGGCCTCAGACCCCAGTGTAGTAACCCTACGTCTGGCTTATGGTGCTCCCCTCTGCTTGGGGTTTCCTTCTGTAAGGAGCTCCTCTGTTGATGGACATTCAGTGGTTCTGAGTGGTCGTCATTTTGCCCTGCGGTGCAGGGTACTCTTGCACCATCTCCTTGTACACACGAGGATCCCACCAGGGCCTGGGAGGGAGCGCCAGCTCACTCTGCCCCTCATCTTTGCTGGCCTTGCCCAACTCTTCACTTTACTGTGGGACAGGCCTCTGGCTGTGATTTAACGAGCGTTGCCCTGGACCCTACTGAGGTCAAACAACTTTTCTCTTTTTCTTGCTTTTTTCAGTTTTGCCATTGGACTTTCTCCTTGTGTGGTTTTAATATTCTTTTTTATGCTGCTGTATGTTTTTTCCATTTTCTTCCTCCAAATTTTCCAAATGCTCTGCAATCAAATTATATTACTTCAGGAAAACAAAGCATTATCACAAGAACACTTAAAAACACTAAGGATCCTGAATTTTAGTAAATTTAGTCAAAATTTTGGTAACTTCAATATTCTTTTTTTTTTTTTAATTTAAATACAGGATGATTCAAAGCCACCTTATTCCTATGCACAATTAATCGTACAAGCAATTACGATGGCTCCTGATAAACAACTCACCCTAAATGGAATTTATACGCACATCACTAAAAATTATCCATACTACAGGACTGCGGACAAGGGCTGGCAGGTAAATCCATTTCTGTTTGTTATTAAGTATTTCTGTTACATGTCTTGTAGATTCCACTTGACAACTGAGAGAAAAATAAGCTGCTGTTTTATTTAACTTGGGCTCAAGTTAAGAAGGTAGGATGAGATGAGTGAGATTTTTTTTTTGCTAAGAGAAGAAGTGTTAGAGGCCCGCTGTTGCTATGCTCACTCTGACTTCCTTAGTGCAGAGCAGAAGGAATAGTGGTTCTAGAAGAAAATATCAACCTGCATTTTTTTACTCGCATGGTCTCCATGGATGGGAAAGGCATGGCTTGTTTCAGATGTTTCTTTTTGGCCACTGCTGTTCATTTCATACATCTAAAATGAAGGAGAGTCAAAAACCAAGCCCATCTCTTACTTTGGCATTCTTCTGTCTTCCTTATCTACATCTACTGACGTACATAGCTTTTTGAAGTTGGCACAGAGTTGGTTTTCAAACTGTTTTACTGGGGAGCCCTTTCTTCAAAAGACATCTTCTCCAGTTGGCCAGCATATAAAAGAGATGAATGCAACGCTGCCTGGTTTAAACTGGGGAGCCTACCTGCTTGTCCACCTGTACTTCAGCCCATTCTTAGGGTGTCTGGGGAACCCGGGCCTCCTCAGAGGACACTTTGAAATCAGTGCATAATGTTTCCATTGTTTAACCTTTTCCTTTAGTTTAATTTTGGAGCCTTTACAATGTGTAGTTTTTTCTTGTTCTGTGTATCTGTGTTATGTGTGGCCATTTACTGGATGTACAGTAGAGCCTCACTAATTCAGACAATATGGGAAAGGGTAAGTTTGAAATATAAAATATTAAAAGCATAATAAAAGAGAAGAAATGTACATTTATAACTTTTGAATTCATTAAGTAACCAGGAATGGCTACAGAATTCCTTTGAGGCTTAGTGAATAAAATGAAAAATGTTTCTGCTGAACTATAACCATTACCAAGTGATGTGGGTAGGGGTGAGGGGTAACCGTTTTCGGTTTCATGCAGGATAAACTTTTTCTTCTACCTGTAGATGTAGAAACATGTTGTAATAAAAATAGTCTACCAACCAAATCCTGAATATTTCCTTTGTGAGGAGTCTTTAGTCACATAAGAGTCTTTAGTTGTGGAAGGTACAAAATAAGACCCAGCCTCCCCTGCTGGCCTGGAGCATGAGCACCCTGCCCTGCCTGCCTCCCTGTTCACAGCAAGGCGGCATTTAGTTGGCAGTGAGGAAAATGCTGGATTTGGAGAATACTTTCATATCCAGCTACCTGGCAGGTCTCTTAACACATTGCACAATAAATCCTAGTAGTATTTACCATATTTTAATCTATAACAGTGAAGTTGTGCTTCAAAGGAAATATAAAACAAAAGCAGAACGGATGATAATCTGTGTCCACGTCTGGTGACTGCACGTGGACTACAGCTCCCCGTGTACAGACAGGTGAGGTCTCAAGAGTGTTCTGTCAAGGAGTGCAGTAGAATTAAGTGCAGCTTACTATGTGCAGAATTCTGATGATTTGAAATGCCAATTCGCTGGGCATTATGGGAGTTTATGTTTCTGAAAAGCCTGGCAGACTTTCAATGACCTGTTTCCCTTCCGGTCATATTTCTTGTGTTTCCTAACATCCATTTATGTGAGAACTGCTTCCGAAAATCACAAGGTTTTCTTGCTGAAGAAAGCTAAAGGCTGAAGCCTGAAGGCCAGCCCTCAGGGGCCACCTCCACCTGGCCTTGTCTCCTGGGGGGTTAGTCAGGTCATCAGGGGCCACGGTCACAGAGAGGCATGGCACTCAGACATGACCCGCGTGCACTGATTGCTGCTGGCTCCTGGAATCGACTTCACAGCCCACTTGGCAGAGAGTTACAGATGTAACTGCAAGGCAGGCACGCCTCTCTGCTGAACTGTCATTAACACTTGTTTTTATTGAAACATCTTCATTTCTGTCTAGATCAAGGTCCGTAAGCGTGACTCTGCACCTCTTGCCTCATGTAAGGCTGCTCCTGGGACGTTTCACACCTGCCTCCAGCTGTTTTAGTGGGAAAGGGATTTCCTGCTCCAGCCTTCCCTTTAATTTATGGACATGCACTCTCAATTTCTTTCTGTCCTCAGCGCTCCTTAGCTGTCCCCAGTACTGACCTGCATGTGCTGTTTTTCTGTCATGAGATGCTCTGAGCTACCCAAAGTGACTGCATTTGAAGTTTCTGTGTGTCTAAGACCTTATGCCGGCTTCCTCTCTCCTGGCTTAAAACAAAAGTCTTTCCATTTTGCAACCTTGTTTTGTAAGAGCCAGATCCTTTTTCTTTGAGAAAAAAAAACCCTCTCAACCAAAACAGCCCATTTTTAAAATGTGGATTTCCAGACTGCATCCTGCCCTCCCTGTGGGGTGGGGGAGTTGGCAGTGGCCGGGCAGTGCTTCTCAGAGCAGGGGACCCAGGGTGCTTGAACCAGAGCTCTGCGTCAGTTTCTAAGAGGATGCGTGTTGACCCTTCCCACCACGCCTGTTCTGAGCACTCTTGAAAGTCCACAGCTGCCCTTCAGACTGACTTGTGGTGTTTCACGTTGTCTCCCCATGGCAAAGCTTTTTGATTAATCCAGAGGAAGTTCTAGGATAAAACAAGAGGGTTTGAGTAGCCCTATCTGGAAAGATGGCATATTTCTTTCCTTTGGTTGTATATTTATGCTAAAATGTTTTCTTATGATTTATAATTATAATTTTACCCAGCCCAAAGTGAGGTATTTGTTGTGACTGTGAAAAGTTTGGGAATTCTGGGGCTCTCGGCCTTGGAAAGGACCAGAGCTGGTTTCTTAAGATAGAGGGAGTGCTCTGCACTCATCCTGGACTCTCCTTCTGGAAGGTACTCAATGTGTTTCCTTCTCATAAATTTCTTTACAGGTCCTTACTCTGCAAAATATACACTATAGAGTGCTCAGTGCTGAGTGGGATTAACAGAGAGGGCAGGAAGGGCAGGACAGAACAAGCACGCTTGACCAGCTTTGTGCCTTTGTCAGCTGAGGGGACCAAGCTGCAGTTGTCGGGGACAGGAGAGGGGAGGGGCTGGTGCTCAGGAAGGGTGGGTTCTGGAACGCAGCCACAATTGGGGGGGTTTTGGGGAAAGAGAAAGTGCTCAGTATTGCAGATCCTTTTCTTTGTATTTAGTTTTAAAGAATAATAACCTGTCTTTTCTCTGAATACTTAATAATAATTTTTGAATCATTGGAATCTGAATCAGTGTGAGTTTAATGTTTGTAGCTTGGTTTGATCAAATTACAAAGGCCTTAAATTACCTTAGCAGTATAGTTACTTTATTCTGTTTGTGTCTACATTAACTGTCTCTTATTACTTCCTCATATTTTCTAGAGTCTTGTTGGCTGGAAAAATCACAGGTGACCATTTATAAATTGGGCCTAATTGCCCATGGGATTGTCGCTAGAGTGGAGAAGAAGTTAGACCCAAGTGTGATGGTGCAGACTGGGTTCTGTTATGTTTTCAGAACAGAAAATAGCAACTCCCTGATCTAAGCACTTTACAGTTTGTCAGTAGTGTGAGGGGTAATGGAAAAGTGACATTGCTGATCCTGCTCCTGTCCTTTATCAGTTGGTAGAAATCCTAGTGCCCCATCGCCTGAAATAGCACTTACTGCCTCCAGATTCCCACTGTGCTGACTTCCCTTTTTCCTCCTAACAACATGCACATTAACCTAATCTACCTCAGTCTTTGCTTGGGGACTCCTTACCTCCCTCTGCAGATGTTGTCCTACACTGCGGCTTGGCGGTCACTCCTGAGCTCCTGCTGAGTAGCCAGGTTTCCACACAGTACAGTCAGAGGAACTCTTGACCCACATGCCGTCGTTAAGGATGGCCTTGCTCACGGTGAGAGTATTCTGTAGTGTCATCATCTGCCTTTGCTTTTTCTCAGTCCCCAATCTTGGAATCTGCCTTCTACTCCAAACTTAAAAAGGCCTGAGTGCAGTTGGAGAAGGATTCTCTGTCTTGGACGGGGCACGACTAACAGGCAAACTCGATTTCCTGGAGGAATTGATAGAACGGTATTGGTTGGTTATCAGCTAAACTCTATGATGAAACATTATAGCAAGTATCTGTGGTTATTAAAATATTCTAAATCTTCTATAATACGCTTATTTATAAACAATTTCACAAATCGCAGACACAAGCTAGCCAGCCCCTTCATGTTGCCAGTGAAACAACTGATGTCCACAGGTGTCACGGTGCTAATTGTGGCCTGTGACTAGTGTGGTCCTTGAACAGGCACTTGGATTGGGTGTCAAGTAGTATTTGACATGGTTTGATTCAGAGCCGCCTCTGGCAATTCAGCATTTCAGGCTGTGGCTAGCAGTTCTATTAGAAGGTTAATTGGGGAATTTAGAAATGATTTTTAGATAGCCCAAAATTTTACCTTGAGTTATTACCATTTTGAAACTTTAATAGTTTAATTTATGAATTTTAAATTTAGTAGTTTAATTTATGAATTTTAAATTTAAACATTAATATAAATGCATGAAATGATCTGAACACATGACTTTTATCTAGCTTTTCCTGACCTCTTGGAGGTCTCAGGATCAGGTTTGCTGCCATCAGTTATTCAGGTTGCAGTGGGGAGCTTTCCTCAAATCGTCTGTAAACTGTGAGCCGAGCTTTTTGTAATAAAATGGACTGGGAGTTGAGAGAGAGATTTTCTCTACATGCCTTGAGATTATCGTGAGGATCAAATAAGACACGTTTATAGAAGTACTTTGCAAAGTGTTCTATTACTAGAAGATAGTGTCAGTAATACTTCTCAACCTTTGGCTCATTTTTCTCCTCTGTTGGTTAGCCAAAAACTTTATACTGGATTAAATCATTTAAATGGCTATGAGAGTTTCTATAAGCTAATTCTGTGCTCAAAAAAGTAATTTAAAGGATTGGCTTATCTCGACTCTGTTCATCTCCAAACAGGGGAGGGGTCAAATGATCAGTAATAGTCTTTGGTTTCCTACTTGGAAAAACAATGGAAGTTGACATTTTTCCCTTTGGAAATAGCCTCTTTCCGTGTGGTGGGGATTTCTCACCCCTCCCCTTCCCCGGTTCCCTTCCTGGCCTTCCGGTACCTCCTCCCATGCTATGCACAGAGCCCCTGTCCTTGTGTCCTTTTCTCCATAGAAGCCACGTGGCAGCCTCTGGCTCCCTCCAGTGGAGGGGTCGCAGCCCAAGCTCCTCCCTCGCCTAGGGGAGAGTGCCACTTCCTTCCAGCGCGGTGCTGCTTTTAAACCTCTCTGCCCTCTGCAGGAGCCCAACACCTAGGTTTCTGCTTTGCAGGGCACTAAAACTGGGACACATTTTTATTTCTCAGCAAGGAAATATATGAATTCTACGTATTTTTTTATGTTTCATAGAATTCAATTCGCCACAATCTCTCTCTGAATCGTTATTTCATCAAAGTACCACGTTCCCAGGAAGAACCAGGCAAAGGCTCATTCTGGAGGATAGATCCTGCCTCTGAAAGCAAATTAATAGAGCAGGCTTTTAGGAAAAGACGGCCTAGGGGCGTGCCTTGCTTTAGAACCCCTCTGGGACCGCTCTCCTCTAGGTAAGGAAAAAAGACAAACAAAAAGACCTCACTTAATGGTCAGTAAATTTGCCTTCGATGTATATTGGTGAATTTTCCTTTTGAAAATGAAGGAACTGCCCAAATGCATTATGATTAAATGTTGGGATGGGGATTTGAAAACAATGTTGGATGCTACCCATTATTTTTGTTTCTAGTGGTCCAAAACAAATCAGATTGTTTTTAAAGTTTTACTTAAACTCCATTCCCGTGTAGCAGTTGTTGCTTCAGTGAACTCATTGCATATTGTTAATAGGATGAGTCGGCAATGTAATGATGCCACATTGATGAAGAGTGTCTTTTCTTTTCCCCTCACATTTGAAAAGTTCTTTAAAGCTAACTTTTAGCTGCTTAAATTCAAGATTGGTTTATACAGTGTTAATTGCCTGATTTTAAAATTACACGTTTTTAGCTTCATTAGTAGATATGGTTTTTAAACAAAAAAAGAAATGACCGTAACATAAGTCTTAAGCCCCACTGGCTCGCACACCGCCAGTTCCTGCTGCCTGCCTATGGACAGGAGCTCCTTAGAGTGGGCAGCCAGTCCAGCTCCTTGGCTCTGTAGCCTGCGCTGGGCGTGGAGCAGCAGTGCCCCAGCACACGGTGCCTCTGTCACAGCCGAGTGAGTCTCGCTGCGTGTCCGTCTCAGGTCACAGGCATTCGTTGAGAAAGTAAGACTTATGGAACTGTGGTTGGTTGGCAGAAAACAAATTACAGCCCTTTTTGCAAAACAGATTTATTAAAACAACAAAACAGCTTTATGAGTACTTTACCTGTATAAATCCACTGTCTTCTTTTTGGTAACACAGAAGTGCCCCAGCCTCTCCCAATCACGCTGGAGTGCTGTCTGCTCACTCCAGTGGTGCCCAAACCCCCGAGAGCCTGTCAAGGGAAGGTTCACCGGCCCCCCTGGAGCCTGAGCCTGGGGCCTCACAGCCCAAACTCGCCGTCATCCAGGAGGCACGGTTTGCCCAGAGTGCACCAGGTGAGATGTGCAGAGGGCAGGCGTGTGGGATAGGGGTGGGTCAGACGGGTGCCTGAGCCAGGCTCATCAGAGAAGAAATAGCAAGAGACCTTGTTCCTTTGTACCTTGTACCTGATACTTTCTGCACAGTACCTGAGTGTCTCTTAAAAACTAATAGCATTGTGAGTGTTTTAAAAAAATCAGTGAACATTCTTTTATGTCACACTATGTAGATGCCTGAAATAATTTAGAGTTAACCTGTTTTTCAGTTAATCGCTTTGTCATTCAAAATTCCATGAAAAAGTTTCCCCTCAAGAAGAGATTAGATAAATTATATAAACTAGACATTGATTGGCAGCAAAAAATGTCCATTTAATGAATAGATGAGCATTTCACGGTTTACTTATACAGTCGCATTGCATAGTAAAAATGTGTGCCCTGGGGAATTTATTTTAAAAATATGCAGTGTGAAAATGTATCCAAACTAATTCTGTTATGGTTCCTAGTTGGTTGGCAAAATGTGCGTTTTGATATATTGGAATTCCTGGCCATGCTGGCCACCCCCTCGGCCCTGCCCCATTTGTAGCTCCTGTCATTGGTGTGTCTTTTCCTTACTCTAAGCCCAAACCAAAAAGCGCAGAGGTTGGTTGGCAGAGGTTATAGTGGCCCAACTCTGTCTCTGAACTTTCCAGTTCTCTTGCACCCATTGTAAGATGAAGACTTTGATTCCGGGGGAGTGTAGCCCCCTTGTTTGGGCCTCAGTGGTCAGCTGCTTCTCATATCCTTTATTGTCATTTTCTTTTTCATGAGGAAAGAACTGTGGGAAGAGGTGTTGTAAGAAATCTGATAGAGTAGAGATTGTGTTTTTAGCCTTTAGATATACAACTTAAATAGCCGCATTAAAATACTGCTTTTTTTTCTTATAATGAGTGACTTTACCATTACAAGGTGACAGAGGGCTGCGTTCTATTTTGTTAAATTAGTCTGTGTGAGTGGTTGCTGAGTGATTGTAGCTAGTTGGTTCAGGGAAGCTCTGGTTGGAGGAATGTGGGACTTGAAGCCTCATCCCTGCTCCCGTCGTCCTCGGCAGGCTCACCTCTGTCTAGTCAGCCCGTTTTAATCGCTGTGCAACGGCAGCTGCCGCCAACGATCAAGCCCGTCACCTACACTGTTGCCACCCCCGTGACCACCTCGACCTCCCAGCAGCCCGTCGTGCAGACAGTTCACGTCGTCCACCAGATCCCAGCGGTGTCTGTCACCAGTGTGGCTGGACTGGCCCCGGCAAGCACATACACTGTTGCCGGGCAGGCCGTGGTCACTCAGGCTGCCGTGCTGGCCCCTCCTAAGGCAGAGCCGCAAGAGAATGGAGATCACAGAGAAGTAAAAGGTGAGCAGCAGAAGCAGGTGCTTCCGGTGGCTTTTCAAGCTCTTAGAAACCCAGCAGATTTGTTCATCCCAACCCCTCCCTAACCAGTTGCTTAGTGTGGTTGTAGAGCGGGTCTGCTAGCCACCTGATTATTTTATTTTAAAGTGGTGAGATTTCTGTAAGCTTTCCAATAATATTAGTTGGTGTCATTTCTTCTTTGTGACTTTTCTTTTAATTTCAGTGAAAGTAGAACCTATTCCTGCGATTAGTCATGCCACGCTAGGCGCTGCTAGCCGGATCATTCAGACGTCACAGACCACCCCTGTCCAGACGGTCACCATAGTGCAGCAGGCGCCTCTAGGTCAGCACCAGCTACCCATAAAAACTGTAACGCAGAACGGGACTCACGTGGTGCCCATCCCCACCGCCATCCACGGCCAGGTGAACAGTGGTAAGCAGTGTCCTCATGGGTAACTGGGCACTCGTACTGAGAGCCAAGATCCTTTGCTCCCCTTTTTATGAAGGGTAGTGTTCAATGTTTTGATTCCGACTGTTACAATTTTAATTTTTTGTCTGAGGGAATGTTTGTATTTCTCAACTGTAGGAAACCTAATAATACTATAAGATACCCAGGAAGTGGTTGTGGGAATTGGCTCTCATGGGGTTCCCGCTAGAGGAGCCATCTGAAAAGAGATAAGCATTTCTAAATATCTAGAGAGATAAAAATATTCCTGCCTTTTTTAGATACCTGGGTGTGGCCTAGAAGCAACCTGAGGTTTGGATGGTGGAACCTAACTTCTGAAATGTCCCCTGGGAGTGGTGGTGTGCTTGAGAGTGTCTGATGGTCGAAGGAGAGAAAACTGCTCTTCCGTGCTCTTTGCTCTGAAAGCCCTTTGGAGCCCCGTGCACATAGCTCTCCACAAGTGTTCTGACGTAGATGAGTAGAGAAGACAGAACAGATTGAGGGAGCTTGGTGTTTAGATGAGCAGACAGAGAACCTCCTCTGCCCAGCCCTGTGGAGCAGCGTGAGTAGGAGTCCTGGCTGGCTGTGTCATCTCGGGCCTGTGGGTCCTTGGGGCTGGCATCCAGTCATGTTAGCTGAGGCCCCTCACCTAGGCATGTGGAGTGCTGTTGTCCGCACATGTGGGCCATCATAAGGCTGCACTGGCCGATCCCAGGCACCTGCAGGGCCTCAAGCAGTGAAATCAGAAGCTACTGGCCACAAGCAGCTCTCTGTGCCAATAGATTGTTTCTTTGCAAGAGGGTGGAGAACAGAAAACTTGTGTTGATCTCCAAATCCTTACTGAGCTGTTTAAGGAACAAAGGTCTGCGAGACCTACATTTACCTCATGTGACTCAGGTTCCTACCCTGCTACTCCCCAAATTGAATGGGAGAACAAGATTTGGATCTTCTTTTAGGAAAGACTAACCACCTGAGAGTTGTTGTTTGTTTGTTTTTTTAAGCCCATTTCTTTTTTTTTTCATTGATGTCTTAATAGTTTATAGCGTTGTGAAATTTTAGTTGTATATTATTGTTTGTCAGTCACCATCTAAATGCCTCCCTTCATGCCTTGTGCCCACCCCACAACCCCTTGACCCTGGTAATCACCAAACAGTTCCACCTAAGAGTTTTTTGTTTTTAAGTTATGGCTAACACACGCCAAACTGTGCATAAATTGAGAAATTTGCAATCAGTTGCCCATTTAAAATGCTTTCTTGGGGGCCGGCCCAGTGGCACAAACAGTTAAGTGCGCGCACTCTGCTGTGGCAGCCGGGGGTTCACCGGTTCGGATCCTGGGTACACAGCAATGCACTGCTTGGCAAGCCATGCTGTGGAGGCGTCCCATATAAAGTAGAGGAAGATGGGCATGGATGTTGGCCCGGGGCCAGTCTTCCTCAGCAAAAAGGGGAGGGTTGGCAGATGTTAGCTCAGGGCTGATCTTCGTCACAAAAAAATAAATAAATAAATAAAATGCTTTCTTCCTCAAGCCCTGTGTCTCCAAAGTAAGTAAGAGTAGTGTGCGTTGTTCTGCTTTTCTCTCTGAATAACTTTGTCGTGGCTGGTCTTGCTGTGCATGGCTGGAAGCAGGTGGCACCGAGAAATGGACAGTCCATTTCTGGTCGGTGTCGTTCTTCCTAGTCTTAAGCCGTGGTGTGGGCCAGTGATTCCCAGACGTCATGTGCCAGAATCACTCGAGGGCCCCCTCCCAGAGTCCCTGACAGAGCAGGTCTGGCCTGGGGCCCAAGAGTGTGCATTTCTAACACGTCCCAGGTAGTCTGAGAACCGCTGGTGCAGGTCAGGGGCCTTTTATCTCCACCTGTCTGTTGGAAGGAGTTTGAAAAACTGTATATGCCTTGCACATATTTAAGTTGGTATCTAAAGTTTTTCATCATAAATTTAATAAGCAAGGGATAAAATTTTCCACTACTAAAAATATTGATGTTTTAAAATTAAAAAAAAAATTACATTGTTCTTTTAAATGTGTTACTGGCTCTGAATACTGCCCTAATTTGATGCCTACTCTCACCCGTGTATATAAACACACAGACAGACAGGCTCTCCCACCCTTGTAGTTCAGTCTCACACACCCCCACCCCCCAGTCTTGTACTAATGCCATATACTTTATGCTTGAATGTCTTATTGAGCACATTTTTTTCTGCAACAACAAAATATTGAAATATTAAAGATTTTTTTAAAAATAATTTTATTTATCCCCCCAAAGCCCCAGTAGATAGTTGTATGTCATAGCTGCACATCCTTCTAGTTGCTGTATGTGGGACACGGCCTCAACATGGCCGGAGGAGCGGTGTGTCGGTGCGCGCCCAGGATCCGAACCTGGGCCGCCAGCAGCGGAGTGCTTGCACTTAACCGCTAAGCCACGGGGCCGGCCCTGAAATATTAAAGATTTAATTGTGACTCTAAGGATTGATTTATCAATTGTTATTACTACAGAATTGAGCAAAACCAAAAATATAACTCTTATAAAATCAAAAATTAAAATTGTATTAAAGATGCATTTCTCAGTATTTCAGGGCTATAAAGAAAACCACACAACTGTTTGTTACCATTGAGATCACTGCTGTAGGCAGTGCTGGGTCAGCCCTCAGCCCTTGTTCCCATGTGGAAGGGAGGCTGGAAGAAATGTTTCAGCAAAAACAATTTTAAATTATCTGTTAGTGAGAAATTTTATTGTTTTTCCTTCATTTTGGTTGCAGTCTTTTACTTAGAAATCAGTTGGCTTGGGGGCCGGCCCTGTGGCTTAGCGGTTAAGTGTGCGCGCTCCGCTGCTGGCGGCCCATGTTCAGATCCCGGGCGCGCACTGATGCACCGCTTCTCCGGCCATGGTGAGGCCGTGTCCCACATACAGCAACTAGAAGGCTGTGCAACTATGACATACAACTATCTACTGGGGCTTTGGGGGAAAAAAATAAATAAATAAAAATTAAAAAAAAAAAAAAAATCAGTTGGCTTGGAAAAAGATTTATTATCCAGTCAGTGATAAGTCAGGGTCACATCACCAGTATTTGCAGCTGTTCTTGTGTTCCACATGCCATCCCTCAAAGGCAGTGCCCAGCTGAGTAGGTGAGAGAGGCTATTGAGAAAGAGGAGGAGGTGGCAGGTGAGCTTTAAGAAAGATTATGTGGTAAGTGGAGGCTCTGGACGTAGTTTTCCTGGAAACTGTCAGGTGGCACTGGGATGCTGCACGACCTAACAGTGACCTCCTTTACCCTTGAAAGTCACTCTTGAGAAGGGAAAGCAGTGCCTGTTATTAATGAATTTTGAAAATCAGAAGCTTTGATATTTTTCTTTTTAACTTTTTATTGTGGAGAATGTCCGACATTCTGGAAATTAACTCACAGCCAGTCTTCCATTTTCCTCCATCTGCTCCCCATCCAGATCCAGACATGTTACTTCATCTGTTAATATTTCGGTATGCACCTCTAAAAGATAAGGACTCTTCTTTTAGTACATAAGCACAATATCATTATTATAGTTTTTTAAATTAATAATAATTCTTTTGGGCCGGCCCTGTGGCTTAGCGGTTAAGTGCGCGCGCTCCGCTGCTGGCGGCCCGGGTTCGGATCCCGGGCGCGCACCGACGCACCACTTCTCCGGCCATGCTGAGGCCGCATCCCACATACAGCAGCTAGAAGGTTGTGCAGCTATGACATACAACTATCTACTGGGGCTTTGGGGGAAAAAAAAATAAAAAACAAAAATTTAAAACATAATAATAATAATTCTTTTATACCCAATATCTCCTTAGGGTTCAAATCATCTGTTCTGTTTTTTGTTTTTGTTTTTTTATTGTGGTAAAATACACGTAACATAAAGTTTACCATTTTAAAATGTACAATCCAGTGGCATTAAGTACATTCCTAGAGTTTTGAAAAACATCGCCTCAAACTAGTTCAAAAGCATTCTCATCATCCCAAAAGGAAACCTCACAACTGTTAGCAGTCATTCCCCACTGCCTACTTACTCTAACCCCTGGTAACTGCTAATCTGCTTTCTGTCTGTACGGAGTTACCTATACTGGATATTTCCTGTAAATGGAATCATACAATATGTCGCCTTTCATATCCGGCCTCTTTCGCTTAGCGTAATGTTTCAAGGTTCATCCATGTTGTAGCTTGTGTCAGTACATCATTCCTTTTCTTGGCTGAACGTGTTTCCATTTTATTTATTTATTCATCAGTTGATTGATGGACATTTGGCTTGTTTCCACTTTCTGGCTATTGTGAATAGTGCTGCTATGAACATTCGTCTACAAATATTTGTTTGAGTCCTTGTTTTTATTTCTTTTGGGTATATACCCAGGAATGAAATTGCTGAGTCATATTGTAATTCGATGTTTAATTTATTGAGGAACTGCCAAACTCTTTTCCACGGTGGCTACATTTTATATTCCCACCAATGATGTATGAGAGTTCTGATTTGTCCACATCCTCACCCACACTTGTTATTTTCCGTTTTTTTGATCATGGCCATCTTAATGGGTGCGAAATGGTAAGTTATGGTGGTTTTGGTTTGCATTTCCCTCATGACTAATCATGTTGAGCATTTTTTCATGTGTATATTGGCTATTTGTATATCTTCTTTGAAAAAATGTCTATTTAAGTCCTTGTCCATTTTTTAATTACGTTGTCTTTTTGTTGTTGAGTTGTAGAAGCTCTTCATATATTCTGGATACTGGGTCCTGATCAGATATACGATTTGTAAATATTTATATTTTCTCCCATTCAGTAGGTTTGTCTTTTCACTTTCTTTCTTTTCTTTTCTTTTCTTCTTTTTTTTTTTGTGAGGAAGATTGGCCCTGGGCTAACATCCATGCCCATCTTCCTCTACTTTATACAGGACGCCACCACGGCATGGCTTGACAAGCGGTGCATCAGTGCATGCTCAGGATCCGAACCTGCAAACCCTGGGCCACCGAAGCGGAGCACGA